GAGCTTCCCCGAAGCCCTGTGCTGACCGAACCTGACAGTAGGAAGATGTTGGGGATTCAAGGTGAGAAAAAAAAATGCAGAAGAAAAAATCCTATCAACTCTTTGTTACTGAAAGCATTTCAATCAGCAGAATTCATTTTATTAAACAAGAGAAAACGGCAGAAGTAAAAGAAAGATATGATATCTCTCCCAGTTGAACGTACCCATTGCAAGTTAAATTACAGATTAAGGCCATAAAAAGGTGATTGACATTTCTTTATCAAGGGCTCACAGTTAGTAGACAGTTGTGAATCAGAGACACCCATTAGCTTGGAAAATGGTGAATCCACTCCCCACAAACAAATCAAATTGCTTTTATTTATGTATTTGTAAAATTTCTAAAGAGCCAGTTTGGAGTAGTGATAAAGGCACAAGGTTAGAAATCAGGAGATCCTGAGTTCTAGTCCTGCTTCAGGCACAAAGCCAGCTGGGTGACTTTGGGCCAGTCCCTCTCTCTTGGCCCTGGGAAGGAGGCAATGGCAAACCACTTCTGAAGTCTTGCCAAGAAAACTGCAGGGACTAGTCCAGGCAGTCGCCAAGAGTCAACGCTGACTTGAAGGGACCAAAAAAAAAAGCCTAAACTGCATCACTCCAGAGGCTCTAAGCCGTGTACAAAATCAAAACTCAACACAAGGAAAAAATAATAAAAAACAATAGCACAGTAAAGAAGGACACTCAAGGCATGGAACTTCCTCCAGCTGCTTAAATGCCAAAGGCCTTCTGGAAAAAACAGGCTTTAACTATTCTTTTGGAAGCCCATAAGAGAGGGGGCTATTCCTGTCTTGTGGGGAGTACAGTAAACAGTTTAAAAATAGAGGAGCAGCCACTGAGAACTCCCATCTCCATGTCCCCTGCTATCGTACCTCCTCATAGGAGAGGACTTTCAACAGACGTTTTATTCATTGGGAGTAGGTGGGTAGAATTTACCCAAGATAGGTAGTCTGTAAGATATCTGAACCAAATAGAGCTTTATCGGTAATAACCAGCTCCTTGAATTGTATCCTGATGCAGGCAGTAACCAGTGTAGCTCCTCTACAGCAGTGTTATGAAATAATAGCGTGAGAATCCAGTAAGCACACAGGCAGCTTGGTATTTCACCCGTTGATAGTGCCCAAGTAATCTTCAAGGGCAGCCCCATGCAAAGCAAATTGTAGTAATCCAAGCATGAGGTGACAAGGATGCGAGTAACCATCTTTAGAGCTGTCAGCATATTTCTGGAAGAAGTTGAATGGTTTTAAAGCTTAAAATATTCAGCGAGCTCTGAAAGGGCCAAACAAGAGAGGGAAATTGCAACAGATTGGCTGCTGAAGGCTCTCTCTTTCCCCATGTATGTTTGGTTTGTTTAGGTAGCCATTCAATTCAGGGATGTCGACAGGGTATGGTCAAAAAACATTCAGGATAGTGGCTGCAACGGTGTGATTGAAACTCTGCCCATTTTTACATATGTTTGCAATACGCTTAAGAACGGGCGGAGCCTCAATTGCACTGTTGCAGCCACCATCTTGATTTCAGTCATTTTGTCGTTATTGACTTGTTGATCTTCTGGCATAATGGAGCCAGCATTTGCAGAGATATAGAGCCTATCCCCACTACTATAACATCACCACAATAATGGTTGGGTAGAAGAAGCTAAGAACCAGTGGTGTCAAAAGAAGTCAAAATGGTGGCCAGGACCATGTGCTAAAAGCTGCTCCCCTTTTGACATTTGATGCACGTCCCTAGTCATGGGTTCAGGACAATGCTTCTGGAATCTGATGAAGGCCTCTATAGTCCCGAAAAGATTTTTGCCCCAATAAATGTTTACACTTTAGGGGACTGTGAGGTCCGCTCATGCCATGCGGAAAGACTCTATAAACTACCCATCCAGAGGTTAAAAGTAATCAGTCCCCTGTTGTATGAGAACTCATCCATTACCCAGAAGAATATTTTGACCTTGAAGTCACTTTAGGTCGGCCCAAGCTCCATTCCCCTCCTCACATCCCCGCATCAATAAATCTGTACCTGAGAAGTTTGCAATCTCAAAAACATGTTTTCCTCTACATCTGCACCTGCTTCTGGAGATTATGCTTCCTTCCTCTGTAATTACTATATTAAAATCATATGATTTCTCCAGAGCTCAAGGGATGTGGGGGGGGGGAGTTTGAATCAAACAACCTCCAGAGCTGCATCTTGGCTGAAAAACTTTCCGCAGATGAATAAACAAATTCCTCTTCTGCTCCTCCAAGGTGGGGCTAGCTTTTAGGGCAGGTGGAGAGATATTTTTCCACCTGAGATGTAATATAGGCCCCACCTTTGGGCCATGAAGAGAGTTCACCTTCTGACGTGACCCAGAGACGATCTGGAAGGGAAAGGGCCAGACCAATGTGGGTGTTGCTGCTTCTCCTGCACCCTGGGCCAACCTATGGGATGCTGGAGAGGAAATGTCCCCTGAATTGGGTCTTGGATATAAATGAGCCATGGAATTATTACCGGCCAGGGGACCTCCAGATCAGTGGGATTGTGTTTGCAAGATATGTTCTATTTCGTTCACTTTTCTTCCAACAGCCTCCCTTTACTAGAGTAAAGTAAGTGTTTCTCTGGAGATAGAGTTCATGCTGCTCCATCAAATGGGTGGCTTTTGTAAGTTGAAAATATTCCTGTCCCACAAGGACACAGTGTCTTTGATATTTGGATCTGAAGAATTCCTTGGTACTTCCAAGAAACTGAGAACTTATGCTTGAGGGGCTCTTTATCTTTTATCTTTGTATAGATCATCCTATAAGAGCATATCCATATCTCTTCATATGTCTGCCTTTTTTAGGGTAATGTATCTTCTGAGATGACGTTGATGACTTAATGGCTATATAATTTCTTGGCAATATTATTGAACTGATTTGCCATTGCCTTCTTGGGGGATTTGTAAAAGTTTATTTTATTTATTTACTCCAGAAACTCTGAGTGGGGTTTCCAACTTCCCAATCTAGCTTATAACTTTGGGCTTTCCTAGAAGTGTCTAATCCAAGCACTAACCAAGGGCCATCCTGCTTAGTTTTCCAAGCTCAACCAAGATATTGTCACTACCTTCCTGGTATAACCACAAACTTAATCCTTGCAAAAAGTTTTAATGCCTGTTTTACTTATATCTGCTGTAAAGAAGACGAAAGTCATTCTTCTCCCATATTTGTTTTCTTCTTTTCCTTTGCTTTTCTGCACTTTTGCTTGTTCCTTCTCTCCTTATTCTTTCTTCTTTTCTATTCCTCTTCTTGATTTCTAGCTCTTGTTAGTTTTTATCTTTTGGTATTCAAAAACGTAATACAGTTATTATTTTTAAAAAGTCCATGCCAAAAGTATCCATCTTGTTAAAGTTTCTTTATTCTTCCCAAAAAAGAAAAATGCTGCATTCTATTTAAGGAATAGCCCAGATGCTTCATACAAGACAGCTCTTGATAGACCACCATTCAGCTGCAGAATAAAATGAATACTGTTGCAATTCCTTCTGTAAATGACGGTGGCACTTTTGCATATGAACAGCAGTCAAGGAATCTCTCTTTATTACAGTACTAGCCAGTACAGCAGTGTCATTTCTCCCACTTCAAGGTTACTACTAAAGTTCTCAGCTTCCCAGAGAGTTCCTGACTTGTGCTCACACAACCCAGCTCTTTCCAGATGTACGTGAGGCAGAAACCCAATAAAATTGTATTGCCCTATTTGATTGTTCCACAGATGCAGCACGAAATCAAAGCCACCAGGATTTATACATGTTGTTTATATATTTTGTCACTGGTTAATTCAGAAAACACGAATGCTCCTTTCCAGCACAGGAACATCACACTGCTCTATAGTCAACAAGGTGGTAATGCCTGGCTGATCTTGATTGATCTCCAAAATATATACAGGGTTTTATAGGAGACCCCACCAGGAGATCCCAGAGCCATAGGTAGAGCTGACAACTAGGAGGAAAAATTCAACCTGATTGAAAGCAAGGGCAAATCACTTCTGTCCTGTTGCCAAGGAAATGGCATGGATGTGTCCATGTGTCAAAGCAATACCACCCCTAAAACCACAGCTTCACAATCAGGGCCTAACCTCACACAAGCTTAGGCCATGGAGGAAATCTTCTATCACCAAAATGAAAAAAAAAAATTTGGAATGATCTATGTGGGTTGAATAATAAAAAAATGTGACAGTTTGTCACTGAATGACCAAACAATTAACCCACTGCTGATATTTCATTGCAGGAAGGATTCAGTAATATTTAAACATATCCTGCCCTTCCTGTTCGCCATCCATGATATCAACCAGGATCCCACACTCTTGGCCAACTTCACCCTTGGCTACAGCATCTACGACAATTATGATGATGTCAGAACAACCTTCAGCCCAATGGTCGACCTGCTGTCACCAGGGCAGCTGAATATCCCAAACTATCGCTGTGGCAAGCAGGATGGGCTGTTGGCAATCATTGAAAAGTCAGACACTGAGATCTCTGAGCAGATTTCTATCCTGTCTAGTACCTACAAAATCCCACAGGTATGAAGCTTGAAAGGAGAGTGGAAAATGAAGTTTAATTCTGCTTTTCAGTCTTGCCCAAGAAGTTGAGAAGGGACCACTGACTGGGATTCGGTATCACTGGTGCTTTAAGGAGGAAAAGATGGAATTGTCCATGTGGAAGCAGCATGGCTGCTCCAATGTTTAGAAGTAGAACATAACTTTGGCTTCAGAGGGACATGGTGAAGTGTGGTTGAAAGGAAGTCCTCTTCTGAAGCTCTGCCTGGCCTTCAGGGTTACATCTTTTGATCCTAAAGCTAAGAGATTTCTGGCTGGTGTGACCCACAGACATTCCATAATGTTAGCAACTGGGTATAAATTAATCATACATGATATGAGCAGAGTCATAGTAGGTGTCAGTACCTAGATTATCTTACTGATTTTGAAAAAAAAAATTGAGCAGAGTCAGACCTGAACATTACTTGAAGGGGAGATCACAAAAAAATCCCAGGGCTGATCTTGGCTCGTTTTGGAAAGTGCCTGGGAAAGAGGAAGGCAGTTTGGAAAATATTGCAAATTCAAAATATCCACATGTTCTTCCATTATGTAGAAAATGGATAGCTAGCTCTTCTATTCATCAAAGGGCTGTTACCAAGAGAACGAAGAAAGTGTTCCCCTAGTGAGCGCAGAGATAAATGGGGTCTTAAAAGTAATAATAAATGGGTGAGATTTCTGTCCCTGATTATCTTTTCCCTTTTAACAAGCCTTGTTAGAGAAGCGTCTATGGGAAACTTGGTTTTGTACTTGACTCTCAAGCTTCTGGAAGAAATTGAGAATGTTTCTAAACTTTGGGCCTCCTCCTTCACAGCACAGAATTTTTGTCTTGCAAATGAGGCATGTTGTGTAGAAATTAGGATTAAGGTGCTGGACTAGGTCTGGTCCCCCTCAGACATAGAAGCTCCCTGGCGTCTCTGGGCCAGTCCCATCCTCTTAGCTCCAGAGCCAGGGTGGGGAAATGGGGAAGGGGCTGGGCTGGGAGTGGGGAGAGCCAGAATCTGGTCCCCCCTCAGCCATGGACACACTCAGGGGGACTCTGGGCCAGTCCTTCCCTCTTAGCAAAACCTACCTTATAGGGCTGTTCTGGGACACAATACCGGTGTACTACATATACTGAGCTCCTGAAGGAAATATGAGATTAGAGATATACTGAACATAGTACATATGTACCCTAGTTGTCTTTCTATGCTTCCCAGGTTCCAAGTGAAGGAAAATAATGCCAGATGCTCCCTATTTTTTTTTTTATTATTATAGATGGATAGTAATCTGTCGGGGATGGTGTAGTGAATCCTACAGTGTGCAAGAGGTTGGACTTAATGACCTCTTATCCTTTCTATGATTCTATTATTCTAAACAGGCATACATAATGCTGGCTTCCTCCTATTTTTCCCCACAACAAGTCTGGGAGGTAGGTTGGGCTCAGAGAAAGAGACTGGCCCAGAGTTCCCCAGGAAGCTTCTGTGGTTGGGGGTGACCAGAACCTGCATCTCCCCACTCCTAGTCCAGTCCCTTCCCAACTACCCCACTCTGGCTTTGGGGCCAAGAAGGAGGTACTGGCCCAATGTCACCTACTAGGTTTCCAGTGGCTAAGGGTGGACCCGAAACTGGGTCTCTGCACTCCTAGTCCAGCATCTTCACCCACTACCCCACACTGGCTCCCCCATTTTAATATTGCAAGTTAGACATGGGTCTGAAGTGGGCTATGACTTTCAATTAACCAGACCCTGTACCTCTCAGATCTATATACTACTAAAACTCTCATTGTATTTATCTATTTGTCTGTTTGTAACCTCAAGTTAGCCCAAATGGTGCATTATACCGCAACAATTTTTGAATCCAGGTACCTAAAATCCACTAACTTAAAGAATGCATAAAAAATCTGGGACCCATTACTCCAGTGGAACTGAAATTTCCGTGATGTTCAGACCAGTTTCATTTGCAAAGTTGTGGCCTTTGCAGGGTCCCTGGTCACATGATTGTGATTTCCGATGCTCCCTGCCAACTTCCCACACGCAAAGTCAGTGGGGAAGCCGGCAGGAAGTCAGAAGTCGTTCCCACTCCCACTGCTTTTTTGCCTGCCCATGGTCATTCTGTTTCTCTGTTTAGGTAAGTAAATACTGACTTATTATTGAAGTTCCTTTTCCACTACAATTATTTTTCTATTTATGATATATACTCTTCTTAGATGATCATGGGACCGTCCAGCACTGGAGTAAAAAAGATATATGGTCAGCCTAAAATTTAATGTTCATTCTGGTCACATCAGACTGCCCTACCTTTCTCTCAAAGGATGACCCAGCGGGTCACCACTAAAAATGGATGGAGGAACATCTGTGAATGAAGCATACCCCATCTGGGATTCTAGCTATTATACTTGATGGCTCCCTTATTGATTTTATCCCCTCCTATTTTATGTGTTTTTACAGTTTTTTATGCATAATTGTTTTTATGTTTTATTTTCTTTAATTGTTGTACGCTGTCCAGAGTCAATTTGTGTGAGATGGCCAGCTATATAAATTGATAAATAAATGAAACAAACAAACAAACATTCCAGTACATCCTCAACTCCCTGGGGGACTTTGAGCCAGCATTGTCTCTCTCTTACAGAACCTACCTCACAGGGTTGGAGTTGCAGGTAAAATTGAAAGAGGGGATTCTAGAACACTCCTCCAGGAATGTAACTCTAACAAATAAATGATAGTTTACCCCTCGCCCCCACTTCCTGTTCCAATTTCCTTAGCTACAAATCCTGATAATAATTTTTCCAAAAGTTTTTTTTTATTTTTTGAAAAAATTAAATACACACATACACATAGACAAATATATTACAGCAGAGTGAAACAGCTTAATAGCTATATCTACTCTCTAACATGTGGACAAGCATATTATTTCTAATAATTGTAACGGAGATACTGAAAAATGGAGACTGGGGAAATAATAATTTTGATCATGAATCTAAAATGCACAAAAAGCTTCAAGCTGGTCAAGAAGATAAGAACATTGTTGTATAAAATAAGTACTGGATGTTATATTCAAAAGAGGTTCTAGCACCACAGTTTCTTCCAGCAGAAATTAAATTGAGGATCAAATATTATTAAATTACTGCAGAACCACATGCAACTCAGGAAGTAAAAAAGTCTCTAAATGGTAATAAAACCATCACAGCCATTGGTCACATAATTTTTCCAAAAGTAACATTAATTATCCACCTCATTTTTAACAAGCATGCTTTCTTTACAATGGCTGCCTCTTTAGGAAGGAATATTTCTATTATTATTTATCACAACTTGTGATCAAGAGCATTTTCCATTTAAATGCACGACACTTTTTAATACATAAATAAAATTATAAAAAGCCAGGATTAGAGTCAGAGGATAACAGCTTAGATTTTTCACAGAAATACAAACTAAATATTTCTATTTAAAGCTCCATCAATGGAAATAAATAAAGTTTGTAACTTGCCTTTCATGAGTTGCAATAACATCCAATGGTTTAGATCAGTGTTTCTCAACCTTGGCAACTTTACGATATGTGGACAACTGGCTGGCTGGGGAATTCTGGGAGTTGTCCACATATCTTAAAGTTGCCAAGGTTGAGAAACACTGGTTTAGATGGATGCAACTAACCTAGATTCATGCAGCACACCAAAGCAGAATGTGATTGCTTTGTTTTGTTAGATGAACCCAACACGTGTGGTTTACGCACTGTGGATTATGGCTTCATAATCTGCCATTTATTCTTCAGTAATCTGCCATTTTCTGGTCTCCTCCATAAATTACCATTAACAAAAGCACCAAGTCTGAAGAGAAAATTGTAATTCCTGATTTTAGGTCACTGGAAAAACCAAGTTTTGGCCATGCTAGAAGCTATTTGTTTGCTAGCAATCTCTGCCAACAAAGATTGGTAGTCACCAAACGTTCTTCCCATCATGTGGGGAGTCAACCTTTTGTCTGAGAGCCATTTCTACAAGTTAACAAATATCTGAGCTCTCTTCTGGAAGTCAAGACCTTGCGTTTCCATTCCTTTCTACTCTAGGTGGGTTACAATTTTGTTTCTCAAGCTCTGAATGATAAAACACAGTTCCCATTCATCTATCGGATGGTCCCCAAAGAGGAATTTGTGTACCATGCGATTATCAAGTTGCTCCTGTATTTCAGAGCAAATTGGGTTGGCTTGCTTGCTCTTAAAGATGACAGCGGGGATCGTTTCCTGAGGACCTTTATCCAGCTGCTGACTCAGAATGAGATTTGTGCTGCTTTCACCCTGCGTTACCCAGCTCTCACCGCAGAACTGGTAAAACTCCCGACCAAACCATTTCATTTCTGGAACCAAGTTAACATACTTGTTTTTCATGGAAAGTGTCGTTTTTTCTACGACACAATCAAACTTGTCCTGCGGATGGTTGAAATATATGTCACGCCCATTGTGGGGAAAGTCTGGATCACAACAGATTTGCGGGATCTCACCATGGGCTTGAAACATGACGTTCTGTCTTCCTCTCAAATCTGTGAGTTTTTGTTTTTCAAAATTCATAGGAAGAAAACGGTGCGACATGACAATTCAGTGGCATTTTTTGCTGCTGTGGAAGAGATTGGGAAGAAGGCGTTTCATTGCTCATTTTTGATCCATGAGTCATCTGTGAGATGGAGGGTAAGGTGCCGGGAGACTGACAACCTTGAGACCCTGCCAAAAGAGATGGTCCAAAAAATTCTGTTTCAGGACAGCTATAACATCTACAATCTCACCTTTGCTATAGCACATGCTGTAAATGCAGTACATTCATCTAGATCCAAGAAAGCCACGATTGCAAATGACAGACTTCGAGTACAAAGCATCCAACCATGGCAGGTACTGGTTCTTCCTCCCTGCTCTCTCTTCAAAAGATGAGAGGGACTCCAAGTTGCTGACTGAATCCAAAGCAACGAGGAGATAAACCTACGAGGAAGCTCCTGGTGAAGACCCATCTTTTGTGGCTCCTGTAGTGGTTTCCATACAGCTGGTTCGGTGTAGTGGTTAAAGTACCAGGCTAGAAACCAGGAAACCCTCAGTTCTAGTTCTGCCTTAGGCATGAAGCCACTGGGTGACCTTGGGCCAGTCACTGTCCCTCAGCCCTAAGAAGGAGGCAATGGCAAACCACTTCCGAAATCTTGCCAAGAAAACTGCAGGGACTAGGCCAAGCAGTCATCAGGAGTCAACACTGGCTCAAAGGCACACATACACACACACAAAGTAGTGGTTTCCCCATCCCAACCTTAAAGGGGAATGACAGCTCCTAGGATTCCTCTCTTCACTTCCCATAGCTCTATGGGAAATTCCTGGCTTGCATAGAGCAAGTCTTCCTGGGTCCATTTGCAGAAACTGGGAGCTTCCCAGTTCTAGTTCATTCATATTTATTTGCACTTGGGCTGATTGTGCCACAAAGCTTTTAATGTATCACATGACATTAGATGGAGAAGAGTTCACTTACCAGGATGTAGTAGGAAGTAGCAGCTAAAATACCTGAGAACAAAGGGGGGAAAGATCAATATATACTTTTCTTCCAATGTAGCAATTCTTCCTGTTCTACTGTAATTGACATTGACTGTAAATTACTACCTTTTAGTAAGTAGGGGTATAAATACCTCCCAGATAAATACCTTTCTGCTCAGATAACATTAAATTTTAGAGGGAGTTCAGAGGAGGGCAACAAAGATGATACAAGGACTTGAGGATAGGTTGAAGGAATTTGGGATGCTTTATCTGGAGGAAAAAAAGATGAACAGGAAACATGATAATGGTGTTCAGGAACATAAAGGGAAGCTACAGGGAAGAGGGTCAAGAATTATTTCCCACAGCCAGGGAACAAAAACTGAGGCCAGGAATAACAGTGTCATGGGTTCTGTTCTGAACCACAAATCATCAGATTGATCCAAACTCGATAAAGACATAAAGCACTAGAAACTTGGGCAGTTGTTTTTTGTATCTCCCTTCAATGGCTGGGAGAGAGTTTTATTTTACAAACCAAGGAAAGCTTACCAAAAAAAAAAAAAAAAGCATTAAAATGCCTTCAACTATTTCAGAAATGAGTATCTTACATTTCTAATATCTAATAAAATTATATTCTATGTTAACTATTTTCTATGAAACTATACAGGTGGTCCTTACTTAACGACCACTTGTTCAGCAACCGTTCAAATTTATGATGGTGCTGAACAAATGGTTCTTACAACCTCAAAGTACTGGCCATTGCAGCATCTCCAGAACCTATCTGTCCACAGGACCAAATTGAGATGTTTAATTGTTTTCTGAACACAGCTATTTTTCTCTACTTTCCTAGCTTCACTCTTTCATGCGAAGTGCCCACTTCTACAATACTTCCACAGATGGAGTGTATTTAGATGAGCAAGGGGAGCTGGTTGCCAAACTTAACAGCATGACTTGGGTGTTGATGTCCAATGAATCATTTGCTGCTGTGAAGTTTGGGAGTGTAGAGAAGCGGTGGGGATCCAAAGACCTGGAATTCACCCTTGAGCAGAAAACCACTGTGAGAGCCAAGTTGTTTAACCAGGTGGGCATAGAAAGGACCATTTCTAATGCTGAAACATGAGAGATAAGAAGTGTGTGTGTGTGTGTGTGTGTGTGTGCTCATGTGAAATATCTAAGTAGAAAAAAGTGTGAATTGTGACTTTTAGGGCACCCAAACTTCCCATGCCCCACAGGGCATATGCTGGGGGATCAAAATCTGCAAGACACTGGGTTCAGTGTTGCAATCCAAGCCCCACCCCTTTTGTTCATGGACACAACATTGATGCACATACAAAAGGGACAGGGCTTCAGTTGTGACATTACAGCCGCCATCTTGCAGGTTTTGAACCCACCTTCAGACCCCACTTATTGTCTGTGATGGTAGAGAAAATAAATCTTCATAGAAGTATCTTCAACATTAGAAGATATTTCTTCTGAAGAAGCCACCAGGCCAGACAGGCAACCCAACTGAATATTTTGTTTCTCCAAGACTCATGTCCATGGATGCTATTTAATCCTCTTTGCTTAATGTTCCTTGTGTTTTTGGTTAGACTGTTCTTCACTCCAGGTGTTCTGAAAGTTGCCATCCAGGGCAGGCCAAGCTGGTGCTGGAAGGAAAAGCAACTTGCTGCTATGCTTGTTCTCCATGTGCAGAAGGGACCATCTCTTCTTTGGAAGGTACGTGATCCTAGAAATAGGATGCGCTTTGGGCAAAGGCATTTTTGAGACCTTTAAAATAATGCCAGGCAGTGAAACTCTCCCAACTTGTTTCTACTAAGTCTCATTCCATTTGGTCAAAGAGGATTTGTTTTAGAAATGCTTCCAGAGGAAAAAAGAGGATTCGGAGAATTCTCATTGTTGGAATATTGGAACGAGCACGTGCGTATGTCCTTTCTTTCCCTGTGCAGGAATCACTCTCTAATGATCTGTAATTTTCTGGATATTTCAGTTCAACCCCAAGGAAAGACATTGGGGGGAATTGCCCTCCATCATCCTCCCCCCGCAAAATTTGGCTGTTTCAGTCAGAGCATTTAGGTGAGGGCATCAAAAGGCCAAGGTGCCAATTTTGACCATGCAGTTATGGCCATCTTCTTGACCACCCTTCTCCCCCCAGCTGGACCTGTAGTAGTTTTATTCCTTTCCCACCAAACAAATCTGGTGGAGAAAATTGAAAGAAAATTTGTGCCCATTTTTAAGTACAAAGAGAGGTAATTCCAGGATGTTGCATGAACGGCTGCAGGGGGTGTCTCCTTTCCATGGAACAATGAAGGAGATGAGGTAGAGTGAAAAAATTAAAGCTTCAGTCGGCACTTCCTCAAATAAAATAAAGAGCAAAGAAAATAAACCATTCTTCAGGGCATGTTAAAAAGGAAAAGCAACTTGCAACAACATCCAACATCCCAGTGTCTTTGGGCAGAATTATGTAAGGAAAAAGAGAAGAAATATTTCTTTATATTGATGGGTCCATAACAAGTGTGTCTGCAAGGTATGGTTAAAAAAAGTCACGATGGCAGTCACAATGGTGTGATTGAAGTTCTGTCTGATTTTCATGTGCAATGCTGATACCCTGTGACCCACTTCCCTTCCTTCTCCTTTTTGTTTGGGGAAGTAGCTCTTTTTGGTGATTTGGAAATTGGTTCTGCTAACAAGGACTTCAGAGAAAAAGAGCTATATAGGTAAGAAATGTTATCTTGAATTTGACTCAGAAGCATTCTGGTAATCAGTCCTACTTCTTCTTAGATGCAGATCATTGCCAGAAATGTCCTGAAGATCAGTATGCAAACCAGGAGCAAGATGAATGTATCCCTAAGACTATAACCTTCCTGACTTATCAAGAACCTTTGGGAGTTATCTTGATTTTCTTCTTGATGTTCCTAACCTTAATCACCTGCTTTGTGTTAGGAATCTTCATTAAATTTGAAGAAAGTCCACTAGTCAAATCCAACAACCGGGACCTTTCTTATGTCCTCCTTGTCTTCCTCCTGCTTTCCTTCTTGTCTCCCTTCTTCTTCATTGGCCAGCCAAAGAAAGCCACCTGCCTTCTCCAACAAACAGCCTTCAGCATCATCTTCTCGGTTGCTGTCTCTTCTGTCTTGGCCAAAACAGTCATGGTGGTACTGGCCTTCCTGGCCACAAAACCAGGAAACAAAATAAGGAAATGGCTGGGGAAGAGTTTGACCAATACCATTGTCCTTTCTTGCTCCACTGTCCAAGTAGTCATCTGTACCATCTGGTTGGGCATTTCTCCCCCTT